TCTCACCTGATTTTGTCAATTTAACAGAACTATAAAGAATTACCATACAAGTGGGAGATTTTTCAAGCTATAAAACCAGGTTTAACCAGAGAATTCATGTTCCAAGTAATTGACACTTATTTCCATTTGTTTTTGTTTTGTTAAAACGTCTTTTTTTATCAATCACTAAACATTATATTTATCACAATATAGGACACATGCATGTTCCTCCATATGTTCTCCCTTATACAAGGAGGTTGCTCCTACAGCGAAGAAAAACAAATGAAAAGCTTGCACTGCAAAGTAATATTCCCCGAACACCGCACATGTGTTCAGAAAATACCATTGGGCCAGGACTTTCTTTAAACTTAAATGCCAGACCATGAAATATAGAACCCTTTTAGGGACCTTGTTGTTTAAACACGGATATGTGTTTGCTGTGTTTTTACAACAACTTGGTCGATGTCATTGCTGGTGGATTTTTTTATGAATGGAATTCGTACATTTCTTCTCTAAGCCACATTTAATTATATTCTTTAATAGTTAAGCACTGTTAAAGTCAATGATATTTCCCTTTATATTTTTTGTAAAATATTAAAAAAAAAATACGTATACACCTTTCTATATTTTTCTGTCATTAGACAGGCGACATGCATATACTTTTTTTCATAAACTAACAGTGACAAACATAAACTCTTTTGAACTTTACTTAAACTTAGGCAAATCAGATGAACAATTATAAATGATAATAATATAGTGATTACTTTGATAATTTTCAATGAGTAATTTCTTGAGAGGTGTAGGGTATAAGGCAATGTTGAAAATAATATCTCAAGGAAAGTATAATGGTAATAAACAGATCTTTATTCATCCTTTATTTTTAATAATTCATCTTCTCCCAGGCAAGAGTTTTTCTGCATTTGAAAGATTTATATATACATGTTCCCCAGTTTTCAAACAAAATCGAATTCCTGAATGTTATGGAAAGAATAAGTTTATTTTTATTTTAGTCGACCAAATTAATTGTGTTCCGAGAAAAAGTCCATCCCCCTCCAACAAAAGATAAATGGTCGGTGCCAAATCCAAGAAATGACCACGGATTACATTATGACCCCCTTTTTCTAAGGCACTTAACATAGTCCTATCTTGCGTTTTAGAAACATCAACTGTGACTGTCGATTGTGACCAGCAATATTTGGAAACATTTACCCAACTAGTATAAAAGGTAGGATCGCCAAAGTATCTCTTTGTTAAAAGTTAAAAAACGTGGTTGATGAAAGAAAGTGTTTGTTTGCTTTCTACCAATAAAATGAGAACAGATAGATGAGGGTCTAGATGGGGGGAGGGGCGGGGGTTCTTCATTTCTGTATTCTTTAATTGTTTAGACCATTTTGCTCTATTCTTTATACTTTTTGCCCATTATTCTCTATTCTTTATATTTTAGCACCGCCTAATTCTCTATTCTTTTTTTTTTGTCAATATATCTCTATTCTTTACGTTTTTTCCCATTAATCTCTGTTCTGTAAACCCCATCCACATCCTCATGGATTCTGTAAACCCCCATCCACATCCTCATGGATTATCAGTATGAAGTTACATGGACAAAACGAGGTCGATAAATTATATCATTTCCGACAAAGGTTGTAATGTTCAAAGAAACAATAGTCATGTTTTAGTTAGATAAACTAGGGTACGTTAACCGCACAAGACTGTGCTATGGGCCGTCTTGAACTTGCAGCGAGGTGTGAGTTTGTGTTGTCCTTGTTGAAGGCCTCACGTTGACTTTAAGATGAAGAACAGCAATAAAAGCGCTGTTCTTCTGATTTTTGTGTGTTTTTTACTGTGCATGTAATGATTTTGTGTCATGAATGGATACCCCGTCCCATATCCTTTGTTTTTCTATTATTTATTTAAAGTGGTTATGGCATGCCATACATTTATAAAGTCTTTCCTTATGTAGAACTGTAGAAATGCCGTGTCCATGAACTAAATTAATGTTCATGGTTCAAATTACCGCCTAAAGACTGTAATAATACGACATCTATATTTCTTGTATAAAGTTCAACAGGATTCACTTCTCCTTGACCTATAGTTCGATCAGTAATCAATATTTATACGTTTTTGAGAATTTTTCAATTTTTTCTGGTTCTATAAGGAAATGTCAACAACAAAGGTGTGTAGAATATAATTGAGAGGTTTACATGTACGTCTGAAGGAATACTGTGACTTTTGACCTTATTTGCATGGATCATTGATTATGTGCAGTTTCTGTTTTAACTATAGTTTTACATTAATCTGAGATACCTTTAGATTAAAAGTCAAATGACGTGGATATAAGCAGACACAAATATTTTATTGGTGAGTAAAGACGCCAGAAACAGTCAATGAAAAACATTATCTTTTGCAAAGCCCAATATATATTTATATGTGATATATATCAAATATAGATTTATTTCGTCTTCAAGCCATTGTTCCACTACTAAACTGTCTATTCTACTTACTAGTACACTTGGTACAATCAAAAACCTGGTAATACATTGTTCAAATAAGGCCTTTGAAAATAGTGAAATTAATATTTTTTGGAGTGTCAAAAATTCGTTGGACGTAAATTGCATGCTTATATGTGTGATTTCGAATCTGTTCAAAGTTTTGATTTTTCTACCCTATATACCACTTTGCTTCATAATCTCATTAAGAAAAATTCACACACCTAATTAAATGAGCATTTAAAAAGTCAGAATGCGAATATATATGTTCAAGCTATTTTAGGTCAATTTTTAGTAACATGAAAGAAAAATAACCATGTCAATTGGACCTGCTTTAATACGATAACTGCCTTTGAATTTTTACTAGGTAACATTTTTTTTTCGCTATGGATTCCGTATATCTTCAAGTTATCGGAATTCCAATGGGGACTAACTGTGCACTACTCATTGCGGACCTGTTTCTGTATTGTTGTGAGTTACAATTTATGACTTAATCCAGCAAAGACCGATCGAAACAACATCTGGTACAAAAATCTAATAACACTTTTGGATATTTGGATATGTTGGCTCTCAATAATGACGACTTCAGTATGTACACTGAAGTGATTTATTATGCTGAACTGACTTTAAATAAAGCTAACATTAACAATGAACACTGCCCTGTCCTGGATCTTGATATCTTTATCTTAAACGGAAATCTTAATACCAAAATTGACGAAAAAAAAGAGACGATTTTTCATATCCTTTTGCTAATTATCCATTTTTAGATAGTGAAGTTCCCTTGTAACCATCCTAAGGTGTCTATATATCTCAACTTGTTCGATTCGCTCGTGTATATAACAACGTATTTAATTTTAATGAAAAAAATATCTGTATTACTGAAAAATTATTACACCAGGGTTTTCGATATCACAAACTAGTCAAAACATTTATTAAATTTTATCATCGGTACAAGGACATCATTCTCAAATATAAATCAACATGCAGACATCTTATACGTTCAGGTATTTCACGTCCAATCTTTTATGGTAATATTCTCTGCAAAGCACAAAAATGTCGGCATTCACCCCAAAAGCTAACCAAACCTTTAAACAGACTTATTCAGAAGGGATATAGTTACGATACTGTTGTCAGGTTATTAAAGATGGCATATTTTGGTATCAATATTGATTCACTCATAGGGTCTTTGCATCAGAAATAAACACATTTATTCTAAAACCAGTTGTTGGCATGATACGGATTTTGTTCTCATATATTCTATGATGCTATGCTACTAAACCACTAACGGGACGGATTGTGCTTGATTTTCATATGACGAAGACATAATCTTTCAATCAGTTTAATTGAGGTCTGGAGCTGGCATGTCAGTAACTCCTTGAAGTCCTTTGTTAATTTATGTATCATTGTTATTTTGCTTAGTTTCTTTTGTTACCTATTCTGATATCGGACTCGGACTACTTTTAAACTGAGTTTTACTGTGCGTATTGCTGTGTGTTTGTTTATTCTACATTAGTAAGAGGTATAGGGGAGGGTTGAGATCTCACAAAACATGTTTTACCCCGCCGCATGTTTGCGCCTGTCCCAAGTCAAGAGGCTCTGGTCTTTATTAGTCTTGTATGTTTTTTTAATCTTAGTTCATTTTTATGTTTTGGAGTTTAGTGTGACGTCCATTATAACTGAACTAGAACACATTTTTGTTTAGGGGCCAGCTGAAGCCCTCCTCCGGGTGCGGGATTTTCTCGCTGTGTTGAAGACCCATTTTTTTCTGCTCCTTTGAAACATTCACCATTTTCATTCTCAATTTTATATATCGACAGAACGTAGAAACGTACATTTTCAAAGCTGTATAGAAATAATATCAAGTTATGTTTTAAATTAGGACAAGAAAATCAACATTCGCTCCGATTATACAATATTCAAAGAACTTGTTACAGTGTTGACTTGAATAAATAAGTTACATAAAGTATCGATAATTTTACACAAATCGTATCTAAATGTTCGGATTCTATAAATAACATTAGGATGTGATATCTGGTTTGTAATAAGATGTCTACAACCAAAATTTCAAACCAATCTTTGTATCTTTGTTTATTTGTTTTCTGCTTGTTTGTGGTGGTGTTGTCTCTTTGACACATTCCCCGTTTCCATTCTCAATTTTATCTATGAAAGAATATAGTACATGTTTTAAGCAGTTTGTGGTAACCAAATCCCTGATTTGATATTTTACCAGTGATACATATATTACGTTCATTGAAATCCATAAAGTCGCTACAGACATGGGCATAGCGAACGAGTTGGGATATATATATATAATAAACACTGTAAGATGGGTTAAAAGAACAACACTATACAAAAAAGGAAAATTAACAATAGGAAACGAAAAATCGTTCTGTCATAATATCAATAATTGTATAAGGTTCCCCGTGTGAAGATAAAATATCTTAATCAAGAAAAGGACATATCTTGCTGTTTATATTTCTCTTTTGTAAATATTATAGTAAGGACTATTTGTAACCTGTGTTTACACAACACAACTTTGTTGCTGACATATATTTTTTTTCTCAAAAACATAACCATCGTTATTTCAATATTTATCCATACAAGTTTGTTGATTAAGTTTAATCTATCACTTTTCAAATGTTTTAAAAGATATAATTGATCTTCATAATTTAATTCATGCGTACTGTACATTGTACTTTTATTGACAAGTATTATATTATCACTAGTCTAATGTTCAGTGCATATATCTAGTCATAACTAAGATTGTATTTTGCAAAGTATTTGCCCGTTCTGTTACAAACAAAACCGTAAGATTTATTATTTCTAAAATAAATACACTTCGGATAATTCAATCCATCCTCTTTTCTAACCAGTACCTTACTATCCTGTCCATCTTTTGATATTACTATTATTTTAGAACTCAAGTCTGCTACAATGATATTACCAGAAGTATCTGTACAGAGTCCTTCTGGACCTGATAAGTCCTGTTTATATTGCCAGATCTGTTGACCTGATCTATCAATACAGTTTACTGCATTACCAAAATGGTCACTATAGATTACTCTGTCATCAGAGAAAACAAGGTACTAGTATTGCATATACAGTTTATTCTTAACCTGTAATAAATTCAGTGTATTTCCTTCCAAATCTATAATACGGATTTCATTACTACCTAAACATACAAGAAGAGATTCATTGGAGAATGATAAGCCGTAGCAGCAACTGTTTAGTTTGATAAGTTTGGTCACAGTTTCATCCTCTATATTGAAGATCTTAATGGTAAACTCTTCAGGATAAGTTTTGGCAATCGTAGTCTTGCTGATCTGTGTAACACAGACGGCGTTACCAGGTATGGGTAACTGTTTTATGAATTTTGCCATCCGAAATAAGTAGGAAAACATTACCAAACTCTTCAACTAGTATAATTCTTCCATCAGACAGACAAATCATGTCACCAATACTCGTCTTTATGTTGACCTCTATTTTTGTCTTTGTCTCAATATGCATTGTCATTTTGTCTATGCAGGATTGTGTTCGTGTTACAACTTGTGCTTCCCTGTTTACAGTTGTTTCTCTATTAATGGCTATTTCGGTTTTAGAGACCGTCATTTCTCCTAAGGATTTTATTGATTGTAGGTCGCACAGTATCTTTTCTATCTCACCAATTTGCTCTATTTGGATATCAACTTCAAATGTCACGTCATTGTTTTCCATATCATCATTATATCTTTGATATTGATGTACGATTTCTCCAATCTGATGTACCCCTAAAAAAGGATTGAAGTATTGAAGTCTGTTCTGTAACTGTTTGTAAATCATCCTGCATTTTCTTTAAGTTTTTCTTTTTTTCGTCAATTTCAGTAATGAAACCTGTCAATTTGGATTTCTCTTGACCCCATACAGTATCTGCTTCTTTCCATAGCTTCTTTTCTAGCTTGTCTAAATGTTTGTTGAATTCCTCCCGAATTTTACCGATCGATTCATTTATGCTTTCGCATTGTTGTTCTCCTTTCTTTATGTTACATGATTTTTTGTTAGCCATTCTATTCAAGAAAAGTAAGATAGAGTTTATATCTTTATCTATTGATTCTTTTGATGTATCAATCTTGGTAATCTCCACTACAGCTGTTAAACTTTTTATTCCAAAACATTTTGAATGATGAGTGGAAATACATTCATCACAGCAAGGCATTAAATGACTGGGCAGTACAAGTTGAACTGTTGATAATGTTTGTCGCATTCTGTTGTGATAGGGCCGATGTGAGGTTTGTAGATTTGAATATCAATGGTCTTGTGATCACGAGTTGATATAAACTTTTTATGATGACAAGAACATGATGAGCATAATCCTTCATCACAGTTGTAACACCATATGTCAGCTTTAGTGTTTTCTTTTTCCTGTTTACATGGTCCACATGGTACAGGTTTACTTGATGCCATAACCTAAATATAAACACAACCCCGTCAGAAATTTACTTTAGTTTATTACTTAATATATTTTTATTGTTTCTTTCAATGACTCCAGAAAGATTGCTTCGATGGCAGATGTTTTATGGTTGTTGTTGACTCTATTCTGAGCGCTACGTGAAGCTTAAAATTATGGTTATTTATATATATATATAAGATACTTGTGTATTTTTGAAGAAAGGATTTCAACCTCTTCCTGTACTATGATGTTTTTGTGTAGTTGGTTTGATGACTCAATGACGTTCACCTTACATCTACTTTTCTTCATAAAAAATATAAAAGATTTAGCTTGCATGAAATGGATAGCATCATAAAGACTTAAAGGATATCATGACACTTTATACAAGGTTCCAATTCGGTCGCACAAAGTTGACCTTTCAATGATTGATTGATAGATTGGTGATTGCTTTACGCCGCATCAGCACAAAAGGCTATATCGTGGCGAGAGCTATTTTAAATATTATAACAAAACGTTTTTGTTTTTTTTAAACAGACAAAAAGTCTTTTCAATATACTAAAACTTTAGTTTAAAGCCAAAATACTTATTTACAAATAAAAATTCATCAATAAGATAACATGATAAAAACTTAAAATCGTTTTAAACTAATACAACAAAAAAAAGGAACAATTGTTTCAACAGGAATATCATTAAATAAATCATACATATAATTTACATTAACATGTTTTTTCCCGGATATCGGAAAAGTCTATACATTCAATTAAAATGTGTTTTATTGTATACTTGCAATCGGAATGTATGCATACTGGTTGAATTTCGTTTTTCAGAAGATACTCGTGTTTTATTTTACCTTTCAAGTATTTGGCATTAAGCGTTCATGAGAGTGTGGATGGGGGTTTACAGAATAGAGAATAATGCGCAAAAATATAAAGAATAGAGACAAATGGACCAAAAAAATAAAGATAATAATGAGGTGCTAAAATATAAAGAGTAGAGAATAATGGACAAACGAATAAAGAAAAGACAATAATGGTCAAAGGAATAAAGAATAGAGAATAATGGACAAACGAATAAAGAATAGAGAATAATGGACAAACAAATAAAGAGTAGAGAAAAATGGCCTAAAAATTAAAGAATACATAAAAATGAAGGACCCCATCCAGACCATTGTTCATGATGAGGGGAGGTAATTCAAGAAGAGGGCGTTTCGGACGCATAAAGATTATTTCATTTTTGATAAAGAATATATTATATATCATTTAAGCATGAACTTTACCATTGCTTTTTTTAGGGTAACCATTTTGTATCTGTAACTCTTCATTAACCCCTTATCACAATTTGTTGAAACTTCCTTACACCGGTAAAAGTCGTGTCTATACTTTGACATGAAAATATTGATTCATTTTCAAAGTTGCACACTCAGTCGAGTTTCAGGGTTAGAAAATTTAGATGACCAATAGTTTACGAATTTGGTAATTTCTTAGGACATGTAGGGTTAGATAAAAGTCAATTATCAAGCCGCTTTTGCGTGATGCCTAAACACTTGATATAACACTACAAACCAGTAAAAGTCTGAAATGGCCTATATCTGTACTCGACTGTACTGATTTTTACTCGACCAGTCTGAATTGGTCTGAATTTTACTCGACATTACTCGACCCCAGTCTTAACCATACTCGACCGTACTGATTTGTACTTGACCCTTATCTTTGCCATTGAAAATAGTCTGAACTATTACTCGACCAGTCTGAAACAGTCTTAACCCATTCTCGATCTGTACTCGACCTATTTTTTCAGTCTAAACCATACTCGACCAAAGGTCTGAACAATACTCGACCTGTCTGAACCATACTTGACCAAATAACCTCTACTTTTTTTTAATTTTAGCTGTTAAAATTAATTTCTTTTTTTCTGACATGATAATAGCCACAGTAAAATAAAGATATATATAAAACATATTCTGACATCCTTACATGATTCTTACATTTATCAAATAGAGATAGTTAAATCAAATTATCTTATATAATAATTTAATTATATTAATTTTAAGTTTTAGAGTTTTGTTAAAAAAAAAAATCTTTTACCTAAAAAACCACACCTTTACTGAGGGTATTAAAACCTTATTAAAGTGCTTCTTGGTTGGCATTTGTTTATTTTTTTTTAAACTTAATTTTCCTAAATTCCTAAAGAAAAACTACATAGGTTTATGGTTACCTACAATAGTTATATAATTGTCTTTTTAATGAGTTAACAACAGCCAAAAAAAAAATCACTGAAATTGTTTAACCTTATAAATTATTAGAAATATATCTATTCTTATTATAATTTGGGATATAATATATATAATATATATCAAAAAGGGATAAAAAAGTTAAAGAAATAAATAAAAAAAAAATTACTGAATAGTGGTAAAGTATAAAGTAATACCTCCTGCTTGGGGCAAACTCATTAAAAAGATCACTCCTGGTCAGAGAGAATTAATTTCTAATTAACATTCAGTAAAAATTGCAACATCCTGTAAAACTTAAATCGCAAGGCTTTTTGAGTAATACACGAGTTTAAGAAAAATAGGGCTTTCTTTTTACCTGTAAAACACACATGTAATGAGGTAATTAAACCTTACTAAAGTTCTTCTTGTATGCCATGTCTTTAATTTTGAAAAAAGTTATTTAAATTTAATTGAAATAAATTTTTTCTGCAACTTTCGAACACATTTCCTTTTTTAAATGGTTATCAAGGATTGCTACGGAAGTTCTATTATCATGATTATATTAAATTCTTGGTTTTACAAAACAAAGGTGTGATCTTTTAAATTTATTAAGTTGCTTTATAAATGTTATATACTATTCTAAATATATTTTAATAAAAAAAAATGTTCACTGCATTAAACTAAACTCAACTGACACCATAAATCTATACAAGGCTTAAGTAAATGGTGAAAATTGTCCAGTAACCATAAAATATATCTGAAACATTTAAAAAATTTTGAATAACATTGAAAATATAAGTCACAATTCAGTTTTGAGATTATTGGATCAGCTTGTTCTATTTTTATTTTAAAGGTGATATATATATATGTAAGAGTTGATAATTATGGTGTTGAATTTATATTATGTTTATTGTGAAATTTTGGTTTCAATGCCATATTGAATACATTTTAAATTTCAAATTGTTGTTCAAATTTCTAGCCAGGGGAAATAGCTGTTAAAAACAGTTCCTAAATTGACGAAATACAATAGATAGATACAAAAAATATGTCTAGGTTGGTTAAGACTTGGTCAAGTATGGTTCAGACTAGGTCGAGTATGGTTCAGACTAGGTCGAGTATGGTTCAGACTAGGTCGAGCATGGCTCAGACGCAAATAAAATGGTTAAGTACTGGTCGAGTGTGGTCGAGTACAAGTTCAGACTGTTAAGTATGGTTCAGACTACAGTCGAGTATAATCAAGTAAATTTCAGACCAATTCAGACTGGTCGAGTAAAATTCAGTACAGTCGAGTACAAATATAGGCCATTTCAGACTTTCAATAGTTTGTAGTGTAACTTATCAATATATTTTATAGGAGTAAAATGACGGGTGTCATATTAGAGTAGGATCTGCTAAGATCTTGCAGAGCACCTGAGATCACTCCTTCGTGTTTTGTGGGATTGGTGTGTTTTCATTTTTTCTATGTTGTGTGTTGTGGAATGTTGTTTGTCTTTTCATACAACATAGAAAACTACAGACTGAGCAACAAAGACATCAAGATGGAAAACAAACGGGAACTATTGTGAAATTTTTAAAAGGTGTTAACTCAACTTTTGCAATTTGATATTAATGGAGTGAGTATCATTTCTTTAAGTGGACAGAAAGTGTTGTTTATAATTATTTAAATATATAAGAGAAAGTTCTTGCAACAAAAATTTCTTTTTATTTCATATATATTTATTTCACTGTTTAGGAAACTGTTCATAAGCCTTGATAAATGAAGAATTATAAAATGTTAATCATGCAAAGGACACATGTCTTGGCACTATGAAGCCATTTAAGTACAAAGCCACTTTGACCAATTATTTTCTGAACAATTGTTTGATCATTATTGATTTTTCGGAATACATTTTGTTTTCAAAGTTGCTTTATATATAAATGTTTAAGAAAACTCACAATTGTTTATAAAAAAAAAAAATGTTTTCTTATTCAAAGAAAAATAATCGGAATTGTGACCTTTTGTCATGTGACTTTTTGTCCTGCGACATTCTGTTATATATGAGGATGTGGATGGGGGTTTACAGAATAGAGAATAATGGACAAAACATTCCTAAAAAATAGAGAAAAATGGACCAAAAAATAAAGAATAGAGAATAATGAGGTGCTAAAATATAACATGTATAAAGAATAGAAAATAATGGGCAAAACGTATAAACAATAGAGAAAATTGACCTAATAAATTACAGAATACAGAAGTGAAGGACCCTCATATAAACTCGAGATCATTTTAGGACCTCATACCAGCGTCTTTTGTTAAACTGAAGTTTTAGTTGTTGCTGTGAATGGATAGTTTTGTCAGTGGACCTTAAATTAAATAGTTTTCGCCTCATTCATTTATTTTTAAGCATACGAAGAAATGAAAAACATGAACAGATTTGTTTTCTACAAGGCAGAACAAATATCTTTCTCAAAAATGTGTTCGCCTTTACCACTTCCGAGTTAACCAATCTCTTATGAAAAGCGTGATACGTTACTATTACATGATCAAACTAAAATTGTAGAGTAAAATCTATGAAATATATACATTACTCCTAGTTTAACAAATCACCTTAGCTGTTATTTGTATGGTCAAACAATCATTTTCCCTCACTATCTCAAAATGGCTGCGTATAACGTACCAGGATGTGAATTATAAAGACATGTTTACTCGAGCATGTTTACACCTGATCAAGTTTAAATGTCAACATTAAAAGGTTTATATGTCCTTAATCAATTTGCTTTGTATTGGTTTCAATTATATTTGGATTTAAATTTATTATTGAAAGAAGTCTTAACTGAGAGTCTAGAAGGGGATTCCGTTATTTCTGTATTCTTTTAATATTTTAGGCTATTTTGATCTATTCTTTATATTTTAGCACTTCATTATTCATTAATCTCTATTTTTTATTTTTTTTCATGTCCATTTTTCTCTATTCTTTAAACTTTTGCCCATTATTCTCTATTCTTTAAACTTTTGCCCATTATTCTCTATTCTTTATATTTTAGCACTTCGTCATTCATTATTCTCTATTCTTTATTTTATTATGTCCTTTTTTTCTCTATTCTTTATATTTTTTTCCCATTATTCTCTATTCTGTAAACCCCCATCCACACCCTCTTAACTCGGAAACAGCTTGGTTAAATGTTTGATTTATATTGGACTCTAATCATGCTAATTTGATCACAGTTTTGGCTGCTAGCTCCCAAATAGTGTCACATTAACCAATTATGTCTGTCCGGGTGTCTCACATAATGTTGTCAATATAACGGAACTTAAAATAATTGCCATACAGGTGGGAGGTTTAAAAAGCTATAAAACCAGGTGTAACCCGAAAATGCCTGTACCAAGTAAAAAAAATGACATTTATTTCCATTCGTTCCGTTGGTTGAAATAGTCTAATGTTTTTAATTTGTGACGTTTTATGGAATTTATTTAATTTACCTTTGATTTTTTTTGTTGCTAAAACTTCTTTTTTATCAAGCACTAAACAATGCATTTATCACAATATATGACACATGCATGTGCTTCCATATGTTCTCCTTTTATGAGGGTCTGGATAGGGGTCCTTCATTTCTGTATTCTTTAATTTTTAGGCCAGTTTTCTTTATTCTTTATACTTTTTGCCCATTATTCTCTATTCTTTATATCTTAGCACCTCATTATTCTCTATTTTTTTTATGGTCCATTTTTCTCTATTTACATTTTTGTCCATTATTCTCTATTCTGTAAACCCCTATCAACACCCTCTTTTATACAAGAAAGTCGCTCCTACAGTAAAGAAAAATAAATGAAAAGCTTGCACTGCAAACTAATATTCCTCGAGCACAGCACATTTGTTTAGAAAAAAAACATTGGGCCAGGACTTTCTTTACACTTAACTGCCAGACCATGATATACCGAAACCCTTTCAGGGCCCTTGTTGTTCCATAGACACTGGCTAACCAGCCATGGTTTGAAGCACATGCCCAGTACAAATATTCAAGAAATATTATAAGCCACATTTCAGAAATTTTATTTAGAAACCAAGATTTAGCAGAGTTTCATTTTATGTACTGTTACAACTGTCCTTAGCAACTATGACTTCTGACTGACAGCCGGTTTCCTTTCTTTTTTCTGCCAACGTATTTATAGATATAGGAAGATGTGGTATGAGTGCCAATGAGACAACTCTCCATCCAAGTTACAATTTATAAAAGTAAAACATGAATGTTTTATGAAAATCCAGCAAGTGTACCTCACAGTATCACGAAGAAACAACAAATTCCAAATATTTGTTTTTAAAAAGTAGCCTCTCGCTTAAAGTTATGACCTAGACCTTTTACCTTTTCATTTGAAAAAAATCATAGGGTTCCCTTTTCTCTATATTTTCATCTATGAAAGTCATTTCAAGTCAATGAAGTAAACTAAAGTTACCATCTTGAAAAATGTTTGTTTTTACTTAATTCATTGACAGTTATCTTGATCTATGACTTAATGGATCCACACTCACCAATAAGCTTATTTCACACCCCTAGATCTTCCATTGGTAAAAGTTTTTATCTAATCAAGCGGGGGAAACTCAAGCTATACCATACGGCAATGATTTTTTTTTCAAATGTGACCTTAAACTTTGACATATTGACCCAACAATGAAGAAAGTTATCCCCCTTCCCTATATATTTCATCTGTAGAAATTCTTTTTAATAAAAGCAAGGGATACTCAAGTTATCAACCGAAAACCATTTTTTTGGTCACACAGACTGGTGAAAGCTAGGACGGACGGACAGACAAAACCACGGCTACATGCTCATTTTAAATTTCGGTGGAGGATAACAAGGGGTATTGCGAGCAGAGCTCATAAAATGATACCCCTCCCCAATCCCACGCCCCCATATTATCAGGTTTGCCTTGTAAAATTCAAGAAATAATTCTGAGCATAAGATAAAAGATTAGGTGCAGAATGGCTTCATATGGGTAAGAATTATATGAAAGTTTCAATGAATTCTTATGAGGTGTTCTGAAAGGATGACTTGGAGGTGCAAAATTGATACCCATAGATAAAACAATGGCAAAGGATCTTGATACTTTAGTATTCGAAGGAAAAATCCCAAAATTGATTTTTTAATAGGGCTTTAGAAAGAACAATTAATTTTAAGAGATGACGCAGATATAATGGACCTTAATCAAACAATCTATCAATCAATATTCTTGTAGAAATGGCTTAGAAAGTTATATATATATATAACATTGCTTTAAATTATTTCTGCTTATTGAATAATGATCAATGAAGATTGTTGCAACGTACCAACTTGATAATGAAATTCTATATGATGGTCTGGATTGGGGTCCTTCATATCCGTATTCTTTAATTTTTTAGGTCATTTTTCTATATATTTTTTTTAACTTTTTGCCCATTTTTCTCTTTTCTTTTTTTTTTTGTGTCCATTTTTCTCTATTCTTTATATTTGTTGTCCATTATTCTCTATTCTGTAAACCCCCATCCACCCCTCCTATATGAAATCCTGAATAATCATTGGATCTTCTTTCACAGTATTGGATACCTAAACTACATTAGTGCCATAACAAACCACGTTATATTGCTTGGTCTGTCAAGTACGTACTCCACTTTCAAGTAGAAGTACAATGTATTAACATAACATCAATTTTATCAGTAATCAAAACCGGGCTTCAAGGCTATTGTGAAACGAACTACAGTAACTTTTTGGGTGGCGTGAATAAGATGTGGATACTAAAAAATTCCAAAGATCTGTTGGAGTACATACAATCTAAGTCTCTTTTTCCTTGCAATATTAAAATGGCTAGTCTAGTAACCGAAATAAACCGGAATGTACCGAAATGGACCGAAATGGACTAATAATGTATCAAAATGGACCGAAATAGAGAAAAAATGCATGGACCGAAATGAAGAATAATATACCACAATGGACTAAACTTAAACAAGATGGAACAAGATAACTACTTTTGAAAAGCTCTCCAGAGCTTATGTTTGCACTTTGTTTTGTATATATACTGACTTTAAAGCTTTATGTCTTTTTTTCGCAAGGACAAATATGTACTGGTGAGTTGTATGAAATGATGTACTTCTCAGTTCTGTGTTTTAGGAGTAATGGTTTATTTGTGCTTAAAATAAGGGAAGTATAGTAATAAAGACTTTAGCCTTGTTTGAAAATGAAAATTGTACTGAAATATTTGTACATACAGTATGTATATATATATATACATGATTACTCTAAATATCAGCACAACAATGTTAAATCTGCAAATTTGCAGAAGCAAATTTTTGTTCTTCCCTCGCCGGGATTCGAACTTATGCTATTGGGATATCGTCACAACACCACCTGCACTGTGTCCAGCGCTCTAGACCACTCGGCCAACTAGACTGAACTAAAAACTTCAGCTTTCGTTGGCCTAGTGTTAGCTTTCCTCGTCAGTAGAATCTAGAGTTGTAACACAGTACATGATATATTAGGCATGAAGATGGAATTGATTGCAGATTAGCTAAATTATCTATCGTAAAGGATCGTAAGATGCAGTCACAGAAATAATTGTATGATAAGTACGTCGTAACAAGTGATAACTCTACGACACATCCATCCATTGGATCACCAATGAAGGTGATACACGGCTGAAAACACATATTATATTCATAATTACTACAAATATCAGCACAATAATATTAAATCTGCAAATTTGCGGAAGCACATTTTTGTTCTTCCCTCGCCGGGATTCGAACTCATGCTATTGGAATATCGTGACAACACCGCCTGCACTGTGACCAGCGCTCTAGAATACTCGGCCATCTAGACTGAACTAAAAATTTCAGCTTTCATATATATATATATATATCAGCTTTAATATACATGTATATAGCTAATAACATTCACGTCATTGGTATACAATTGTCTCAATGGCATTCATACCACATTTCCTTATTTTTAATATGGACCCAAGTCATTATTTTGAGGAAGAGAGGTTAAAGGCAAACAGATTGTCACAGGTGTAATATCTATGTTTCAACAGGAAACCATGATTTAAAAAGAAAGTTGAAAAAGACTAAATTTCAGAACCATCTTCATCATGTAAATTTCAGCCGTATATGACGTATATTTGATTTCAATTGGAATTTATCTTACTTTAAGATTCTCAATGTTAATAGCTATTTTCTTATTTCGAATATCTGGATACCCATAGATAAAACAATGGCAAAGGATCTTGATACAATAGTATTCAAAGGAAAAATCCCAAAATTGATTTTTTAATAGGGCTTTAGAAAGAACAATTAGTCTAAGAGATGAGGCGGATACAATGGACCTCGAGCAATCAATATTCTTGTAGAGATGGCTTAGAAGGTTATCATTACTTTAAATTATTTCTGCTTATTGAATAAAGATCAACGTACCAATTTGATAATGGAATTCTATATGAGGGTCTGGATGGGGTCCTTCATTTCCGTATTCTTTAATTTTTTAGGTAATTTTTCTTTATTCTTTATATTTTTGTCCATTATTCTCTATTCTTTATATTTTAGCACCTCATTATTCTCTATTCTTTATATTTTAGCACCTCATTATTCTCGATTCTTTATTTTTTTCGATTTTTCTCTATTCTTTATATTTTTTGTCCAGTATTCTCTATTCTGCAAACCCCAACCCACACCATCCTATATGAAACCCTGAATAATCATTGGAACTTCTATCTCCGTATTGGATTCCTAAATTACATTTAGTGTCCTAACAAACCACGTTATATTGCTTGGTCTTTCAAGTACTCCA